TTCAAGTTTAATAGACAACACTTAATATTACTTGCCTTGTGTGGGTTTTCTTTCTTTCCCAAGCAGAAGCTAAGCCCTTACTAAACCCTGAGGGATGGTATCTCAAAACAATAATTTTCACCACTTTCTGAAGAGGTAAATAACTAATCATGTCAAAGTCTAGAGCTCCCCTCCTGGTCCCAGACACAGGTTGCCTACATGGTCTGGCTCTGAGCTAAGCAAATTAACAATGATGCTTTATCAAATGGCATCTGACACACAGGCAATGGGATGCTGAGCCTTTGTATGATATACTTGTAATAAAAAGACAATGCTGGCCAAAAGCCAAGATTTAAGGCTCTGATTTTAGCAAAGCTAGCAAATAAGAAAGGGTCAGAGGCTTAGGAACAGCCAAGCAGCTGTGCATTGCCTGGAGCCTCCCTCGGGGACCCTCTGATGCTAATGAGTAACTTACAGTGCAGAAAGGATCTTTTGTGTGTTGAGGGTTATCTAGGCAGAGCCCAATACAACCCCTGCTCCAGAAGGATTACGGTCCAAGCGAGTAACAGAAGGGAGAGAAAAGCGTTAATTCTCTACTTCAGAGATAGAGACGATACACTTAGACATGGACTTTCCAGAGATCACCAGAGAAGGTTGCAGTAGAAACAAGGCCCACAAACAGGACTCTTGTTCCTCGCACTGCCTGAGCTCTGAGTCCTGCCTTTCTCTGTAGACCTTAACTGTAGGAAACCATGTTGTGTTGGACACTACAGGACGTTTAATCCCCTCTCAACAGAGACCAATGCTAAGTAAAACACTGCAACAGATCTTTGCCTGATCTGTTCTTAAAAGCTTTCAGTGATGGCTGTTTGTAACCTGTGCAGGCAGTCTTTCAGAGACACAAAGTTTGAGATTAAACAGCTCCCCCTTCCCCAGCTCCATGGTCAAGTTTTCTAGACTTGTATCACTCTCACTGCTTTCTCCTGAACTTTGATTAGTCCAAAACTTTTATATTGGGCACATGCAACTCCAGCACATCTTGCCAGAGCTAAGTACAAAGATTGCTTCATAAAACTTAGATGCAACAGTAATCCTGCCCCGTCCATCTTCACCTGATAACATACCATACTTTGTTCAGTGACCCTTCCGACCTTGGACTGTTAGTGGTCTCTAGGTGTAGGAGTTCTTCACTGTGACGCATTAATTTTTCTCTGAGGATTTTAGGGAAAAAAACCTACTATCTGGCACTTCCTTCTGCTTCCCTGCACTCCAGAAAGATGTCCTCTAACAAGGGTATTACTCATAAGTGAGCTGATACTTTGAGTACAGCGTTAATGACTGAAGCTATGAATATAAATTTATTTCCATTGTGCATTTAAGAGCTTGGAACAAGCCACCAGTATGAAGACATCCTATGTGTCCATAGACACAAAACCCCGGGCAGGGTTCATCTCTCTCCCCTCCCCTAGTCATTTAGACTCATTTTCCAATTGATCGAGTGAAATAGAGTTGCCTCATCCTAAGACAGGCATCTAAAATAGGTCTGCTGAATCATTGTCTTTAAGGGTCTTTAGTAACCCAAGCTTTCCTTCGTTCATTTAGGCTTCACTCCCTCCCAACATCCTTTGTCACTCAGGGCAGGACGGGTACAGCCTGATGCTCCAGTCTGTGCGGGGCTCCGTGTTAGCTCAACACCTCTCAGCAGGCTTCAAAAACAAGTGTTCTATCTACAGAGCAAGCAGCACAGGTGGCAAGAAAACTGCAGAGAAATGGAAGCCAAGCATTTACAAATCGCCTCTCCTTTTTGCTGTTTGCAGGGTTGTGCAAATTAGTTTGATTTTTTCCCCCGTTCCCCTTGTAAAGTTGTTGGAACAGGGTACTGACAACGCCAGCCCTGCATTCGGTACTCTCCTGGGGGAATCCGAGCATCACTTAAGTTTGCCTCTGCTCATGAAATACATGAATGCAACAAACAAACTTTCCCTCTCAAAGTTACTGCCCAGGAGGAGGAGGTGCATGGCACAGGGTTCATCTGCTTCCCTGGGGCTATAGGAAGTGCTTCCCTTCGGCTGTAAAATCCCAATCTGTGTTCTACGCCCCTCCTTTCACTTCAGGACACCAGTTTTATACTCATCTGTTCATCATCAGTGACTTGGGGCACTTTTTTAAAAAAAAAAACCCTAGTTAAGAGAGCCATGTGAAAAATCCACCTCACCTCAACAGCATTTCCCACTCAAGGCATTTCATACCAGACCCCCATCTCCAGTTAGCCGTGCTGCCTACCCCGGTACTTTGTCCCTGCCTGCAGATTGCATGGCCAGTGTGTCTGTGTCTCCTTGGTATTTTCCTCCTGCTCATTTTGCCTGGCAGGCAATTCTCTTTTTTGTATCACAAGAATTACTTGCTAGCCTATAAACAGGAGCTTGTTAGCTGGCTTCCACTTTCTGATCTCTGCAGGAACTGGTAGTTTGCATGGAAGAAACGAAACGTATTTAAACCACCACTTGTCATCAGATGAAGTGCTCTCTCTTTCTGAGCAATACGGGAATGGCAGGGGATTACGGTAGTGGCAAGGATACTGCCTGCTACATCAGCAGAGCAGTAAAGTTACTGCTGCTCCTTGACAGCGTGGAGCTGAGCACTGCAACTGGGGAGGGTGCCTGAGGGATGCTGGAGTCGAGCCCCTCACAGGCGCTGGGATACAGGGAAACAGTGCAACTGGGAGCTGACAAAGTACTAGTGGGGAAATAAAGGGAGAAAAGCAACGGATTTTCAGGCATGGAGTCCCATCCCTGCATGAAGAGAGGAGCCTGCTGTGTTGTGCTGTGAATCTCCTTTCCAGATGCTCAGAGAAGCTGTGCTGCTTACTAGAGACTGAAGAGGTGAGTGTGGGCTGGGGCAGGCGCAAGGGTCTAGTGTATGCCCTTCCCCAAACCATCTCTCTCCACAGGTTGAGTATTGTCTGCTTGGTTTTGGACAAGAATCTCTGTCAGTCTTTTCTGCTGCACCTCCTTGACTTACCGGGAAGTTATGCTTCATGTGCTTGAAAATCAAGTTTGATAATTTCTTAATTTTCTAGTCTACCGTCAACCCTATAATGACCACGATTATAATGGTTAGAGATGCTCAATGCTACAGTCACTTTTCATTGATGTGCTTAGTAAAATCTGCCCTTTTCTTTCTTGGAATTATTCAACTTCTTCCCTCTTGTGGGAAAGAAAATATAAAGATCCAATTTTGTGTCAGTGCACAGAAGGCAAATTCCCACAGTGCAATACCTTTTCATCTCCCCTCCCCCATGCTCCCTGCTTGTGAACTGGGAATTTTGGGGGTTCAGTTTTAAATGCCCTTGCCTGCAGAAAAATTCAGTTTTGAGATTCAGCTACATGACAGTTGCTGCTGCTCAGTGCTGGCATAAAGTGCGATCTGAGGGACTCATCTGAGCGACCTAATGCCAGGACACTTACAGAGTCTTACCTTATCTCAGTTTTGACGGGAGTAGTCTTAGTGGTGGTTTTTCACATGTCTGATCAATATTTTGGATGGTAACGCTATATCCACGTCTAGGTGTTGTGAAAGGCTTTTAGCCAACACTTGTAGCTTTCCCCTTCGTGCCCCCCGCGTCCCGTTCCCAGCCTTATCCTCACTTTTCTGTCTGAAGTACCTTTTCTCCATATTTAGTCAGCTAAGGCTGAGCTCGGCTTCCAGATACTCTGAAACATTGGGTCACTCAGCAGGA